CCCCTCAAATGTTACAATGGATCTGCTATCATTTTTCATTTCTCTCGACGTGGCACACTCCGCGGTCGCATCTGGCAAATTCTACAGGGGGTCAATTGGAATTGTAACATCGAAGGGTTTACTCCCCGACACTTCAACCCCGAATACATAAGACTTTCACATGCTCATTTTTTTCTAATCTAAAAATAATAATAAAATACAAAATGAAATTAAAGCTGTACCTGTTACCAAAATAATTAAAGGCTTACCCTTTTAAAAAAAATTAATAACACCACAATCGACAAAAAATCTAAAGAGAACTTCATTCAGCTTTATTCAACAATAGTTTTATTTCAAATTAGAAAGAAAATTATTTTTTGATGATAATTTTCATTTAAAAAAAGTAGTAAAACCTAGACAAAGGTTCACCTAGGAAAGGTGAAAAGATTATTGAAAAAAACGAAACAATTGATATGTCCAATCAGTGTGAATTGGGTATTTTAAAATTGAGGGATCCGAGCATTGTAATCTGCAATATAAGCCCGAAAGAATTGAATCAGAACTACGTTCAATTGAGTTTCCAAATGTATCAAATTCTTCATTTATTCAATATTGGTTTTACATTTTCGATACATGGATATTAATAGTATGAATATTTATATCATACGATTTATAAGTTATAAGCTTTTTCAAGTTTACAAACAGTTTTTTTTTCAATTCTACCATTAAAAATAGAAGATTATAAAGATTGAATTTTTTTCATAATTTATTCACATAGTCTGAAGGTTATTTTTAATTAAAAGAATATACTTTTTCAGATTATAAAATTTGAGGGTATTTTTATTTAAATTATTAAATGATACATGTTAAGTGAGTTAAAAAATTTCAGATGTAAAGTCATGTACATACGTACCAGATTTAAAAAAAGAATCATATTTTATGTCTAAATGTGAAGACAGATGTCAATTACGAGAAGAATCATGCGATAAGTTTTATGAGGATATTTTTATGTTATAAAGCTTCTAAAGTGACGAACTAAAATTGCTTTTAATGAAAACTGATGTTTTTTTCTGGTAAATCAAAATTGACATTTTCGCATGTAAAATAGTGGATGAGATAGTTGGGGAGAATTACAATTTAGTACATATTACAAATCGAAAAAACGGTTATAGTTTATATGAGAATATAATTTTTATTCCACGCCAGGTTATTTTTGAATAAAATACTATGAAAAAGGAAGTTGAATTTTATAAAAAAAAAATATATTCTATCACTTAAAATAAAGCAAATCTTTATTTGTGAGATCAACAATTGTAATAAAACTTGAAACATATTCTGCCGTTCGTATTTTATTATTTTTCATATTCATCAAAAAATATTAAGTAGGAGTTCTGTAACTTTCGGTTGTCATACTTAACAAAGAACACAATTTTTGTTTTATAAGAGAAACGCTAGGTTATTTTTTAATAAAACACTATAATAAAAAAATTCAATTAATTATTTATTACACACTTTATATAGCACCCTTTGGGTAGCTTCTTAGTCGCATAAATTTCTTTATCTGCATCCGCAAAGTAAAAAAGTACACTTTCATTCAAAATGAATCCGGAATAAAATGCAGTCAAAGACAATTCGTCGACCAACAACAGGAAATGAAACCCCGTACCAGAAGTAAATTCAATTCCGACTATTCGCCTGTAGAATCGGGAACTCGGATTTGAAAAGCTTCAGTTCTACTAGAAACTCCAGGAGTGTTGGCCGTAGGGAGCACTGGGACCGGAAGTTTCACGAGACATTGCTATAGTGTTGATGTTGCACCACAGTGGCACTTGGAAGGTTAAATTACCAGACTTTTCTTTTCAGTTTTTACCTCTCAATTTTTTTAATATGTAATATGATGACGTGTTACGTTCTCTTTCTTGATGAACCATGTGTTTTAATTCTCATTTTTAAAGACTGAAGTTAATTTACGCTTTGTAGAATTGAGATGAAATACAATTAGAACCCTCTACTAAATATGTATAACGCAAAATGATATCGAACGAAGAGGAAAGAGTGTGATAAATTCTAATAATCTAAATGGAAAGAAACACTTCCACTCTAATGAAGAAGTGAAATGAAGGGGTGACGATGAACAATGCACAGGAAGGGAAGTAGTCACGTATGTCTCGATTTCAATTTTAATTCAGACTCCCTGCGGATGTAAAGTGTACCTTGAAACACAGTCATCCCTCGTGGACAATGAGCAACGCTTAGCGCCACTTGGCACTGGCTAAGCCGGTAAAGCATCAGCTGAAATGTCCTCCTACAACCAAGGAAAGCAAACTAAAACGCAAGAGCGCGTGCGCACATTTAATCTGCATACCGGCCGGATAGAAAGTAATTTCGTTTGGTCTCACGGTGAATTAATAACAAGTCATCCCCCAAGGACGTGAGTCACAGTCCATGAGCCATGATGGAAATGTAAAGTACCCCCGCCATTCGCCCTCTTTTTTCATTGATGCACCCTAAAACAGTCTATCCTTTTCTCACTTTAATTTTACATCTCGTCTAATACTCACATTTTTCTTCTTTCTCTCTTTCAAAGAAATCCACATTTCCTCTTCCATTTTTATCTATTGGGGGAATTCATCTTTCTCTTTCTCTCTTAGAAAACTCTCTGTCCCTTCTAGTTTTCACTTATAGTTATCAACTACTCTCTTGGATTCCTCTTTCAGTTTCGTTCTCTGTCACACTCTTTCCCCTTGGCGCATGAAGATGTGACTCTGAACGACTGGACAAACAGACTGCTTGGCCCTAAGGGAGCACACAGAGTTACCCTATTTGCATTCAATTTCATTGCAAGGGCCTCTCGAACGCGAAATAGAGTTTTCTCGAGAATGAAAATGAACATTAGTGCTTCCCACTTGAAATCCTTGTGCTTAAAGCGCTATGTACTTACTTTCGACAACCGGAAGTGGGGCAAGAATAAAATTGCAGGAATTCGTGTGAGATCAATATTTCGAATTTATCTAAAGATTTACGTTTACTATTCTAAAGTCTCCTTATTTTCTCAATATATTAAATTGAGACTGTGGTTGGAAACTATGGGTTTTGCGTTAATTCGTATATGAAAATCGCACTGGAATTTTTGACAAGTGACCTAATATTTATGCCATATATGGAAAGTGAAGATCGAATTACATACTGTTGTCTAGGAGTAACAGCTCGCGAGAACGATACTACAAGCTTGAGCTTGCGTCGTTTGTCCTTGGCATAGCGTATCGCTTTTCTCCTACTTTCATCTATAACATTCCTAGGTCGTTCACTTAGCACGCTTCTCAAAGCTTTCGAAATTCCATGTTTTATAACAACAACAAGAATTGTTCAGATTTCTCTAAAGTTACTGCTATTGTTGTTATTGCATCTGCAGATTAATTACATATTTAATCTTGGAATTTTGTTTTTTTACATCTTACTTAATTTTTGTTTAATTTAAAAAATTAAAAATTATGCTGCAATAAGGATGTTACTGGGACGTAACAATTACAAACCTGATGGAATATCGACTCTTGTTCAAATGTAGTCGTCGTTACAAGGAAAAACCCTCAAAAAACTGTCACGAACAAAGAATCATAAGCTTAAGTTTAACTTAATCATTGTATGAAAATAACAGATCAAACTTAAACCGATTTATTTAAACTGAGACACATGCGAACACCTGTTTAATAGCCGCTACTAGCAGCATATTAAGATTTAGCACAAATACAATATTGAAATAATTAGACTTTCGCTTCCTGTACTGTTTTTGCATTCACGAGTTTGTGATGTTTTAAAAGCTTTTAGAATAAATTTTAAGTATTAAAAGAAAGATGAATAGTGCAGTATATGGAGTGTGAAGAGAATATTTTTGTGGTGCAAATGAAAAGTATGCTTGTATAAAATAGTATAAAAGTGTGAGTGATAAAAAAGGTAAAAAAAGAGAAGTGAGAATTAGGTTGCGTAAAGTGAGAAAAAGATATCGACAAGTAGAGTGAATTAAATGTGGGAAAAATGCAGAAAAATTTTATATGGACATGTATAGGAGAGAATGTAATGAGGGAAATAGAGACATTGATAAAATGAAAGAAAGGTTGGAAAAGTGTGAAAAATTTGAAAAAAGTGGTGAATGAAAAGGAAAAGAATATGGAAGAGAATCGATGGTTTAGAAAAGTGTTAAAGGGGTTAACATCCACTTAGGATATATCAAAAGGGAATACAGAAAGTGTCACACAAATATTTATTAATTTCGAATGGGTCAAAACAATATTAGGGAAGATGCAACATTTGTTGCTATCTGGAAAAAATAGTGAACATAGTATCCAGATTTCGTTCGTTAATAACGTCCTAAATATATCCCATGTCCATTACCCACTGGGTACATATAATTTTAGAAATAAGGCAACACCTACATTTTAAAAATTATTAACAGAAAATAAAAAATAAGAAGTACAAAAAACTTTTTGTTACAAATAATGAGTCTTTATTTTAATTAGGAAGATGCAGATTTGCATGAGATTAGTTTGAAAAATATAGAGAAAATTGCTCTAGGCTTGTGTCTCTAGCAGGCTAATTGGAATCCAATCAACGCGATTAATCGCTTAACATGCAGAGTCCACATATTGGTGAAAGCTGCCGGCGGCTGACGCTATTTAGGTATTTAACTGCAACCACCATCGGCAGCCGAATGTGGGCGTGAACCGCAGGCTATATTTTATGTTTAGTTCAGTGAGATGCCCGTTGCAGACGATCAGACCTCGAGAGATCGTAGATTTCTCCGCACCCTTGAACCCTCCAGGGTACACACGGTTGCCATCTTTCCTCAACGAATGTCCAGAGTACAAAAAAAGTCCCCAAAGCTTGGAGAAGCTCCGGATGTGCTAGCAACCTGCAGACACAGCTGCTAGTACATTCGCTTCCGTTCTGGGATTTCCTGATTAATAGGCAGTCACCATTTTCTGCCCACTGACAATAAGAAAAAAATAAAGTCTGAAAATATTTCACGCATATCAACTGTTTTTTAAAATCATCATTTTACGAACGAGTAATGATTACGAACTCAAATAATGATTTCCCCACTCAATGATGATGAATTAACAAAAGTGATTGACATAGGAAAAGCTGGGCATTTGCTCGCTGGTCTTGACGTAGAGCAGTCTGGTCAGATTATCATTGAGATCAAGAATCTCTTTTTTAGTGTCAAAGGCCAGAGTTCTAATTGAAATAGACAGCAAGTGAGTCGCGTCATACAGTTTCTAGAAATTCAATTTAATAAAGATTAACAGAGATTGAAGAAAAGAACAATTATATTGTTTATTGTGAAATAAATAAAGTGCAATAATTGAGATTTGATTAAATATTAGAAAAATTAGAATAATAAATAACACAATGTATAGTCTTGTTAGCAAAATACAAAACAGTGAATTCTGAAAACTAAACTTACTAAAGGCTGGATTAAGTAGAGGATCACAAATAGCAAAAGGTGAGCTGAGTTAATTAATAAACAATACATCATAAATCACACATACACATTAGTATATTTGAAGAATAAATATTCCTACCTAGCAGGCCATTTTGCAGTTAGACCATCATCACTATCATCTTCAATGCAAGATTGATGAAAACTTTCCAAATGTATAAAAATGTTGACAACAACCTTGACGATTAGTCAATCTCATATTGCGACAAACTTTCTTGGCAAACTTTCTATATAAACTTGTCGAAAGCTTTTTTATCAAACTTGCAGAAAATCTAAAACTTGTTAGGACATGGAAATTATATATTGATTATAGTAATAGATCTAAATTTTAATTATTGAATATTTACAAGTAAAACACTTTTTACAAAGAAAGGAGTAATAGATGTCACTAATTGCCAATAAAGTTGAATTCTTAATTCGTATTGGCGTCGCGTGTGTGCCTCAAAACATGAATGTGATTTCCTACAAGACTGTAAAAGGATTTATAATATTAAAACATAATAAACTTTTTTACTAAGATTAAGGAACACTTATATGATAAAAATAAATAATTTTTTCAAACACGGAGAGAAATTTATGCTAGTGGGTAAAATAAGGATGGTTAGGATTTCGTGTCTATTGTACCCATTAAAAAATACGTAGATTACAATATAATACGACATTGGATTTTAAATATTTAAACATTTGGAAACAAATATATTAACATGTTCATCTATTACTATAATCAACATACATTTCTATTTAACACATTTAGAGTTTTAGTCAGATTGCTAAAATAAGTTTGCGTTGTATGTTTTCATCAAGTTTGCAATGTGAGTTCGCTGCAAAATATCGTGCTATGTAGATGGTATTTAATTCACATACTTAATTATGAAAAATAACACTGTTACTTAACTGAAAAATAAGAGATTTTTAGAGGAAATTTATGTTACTTCTTTTATGGTTCTTTAAAATATACAATATAATTCTTTATACATCTGTAAACTATTTTAATTTCATTTTGCTCCTCAAACTATTTCCAAATATTACAAGATTCACTATTTACCAATGGTAGATTTGCTCACCTGTTTTGCTTGAATAGTAAGTCAGTTGGAGCCTAATTAAAAAGGTCTACACAGTGTCTGCAAACTTTTGTCGGACCTTTAGCGGACTCCTTTCTCGTCAGAAAGTACGCAGAAGGTCCATGGAAAGTTTGCAGATATTCAGTGGTCTTATTTATTTGGGAAGGGAATGCACTAAATGTACAATATTTCGTTTATTATAAATGTCAAATATTAATATTTTTTAATATTAGTTATCTTGAAACTTGAATTTACTTCCAAATAAATTCTTTTACAAAATAACTGAGTTGTATTTTTTATTGGTGTACTTTACTGATGTTGGCTTTAGAAATAGTGCTTGACGATCTGTATAGGTTTCGCTTTCAAAATAATACTCTCTTTCCGAAGGATGTTATGAGGTTGATTTTCAAACTAATACTCTCTTTCTGAATGTTTTGATGAGTTCGATTTTCAAACTATAATACTCTCTGGTTAAATGAAACTCCTTGCCCTTTTCATACAAAACGCTGCTCGACAAGTGGATGAAAACCCATGTATTTTTTGAAAACCATTGTTGTCCGAACAATTGTTTGACGCATCCCTCTGAATTTATTAGCTATGGATCCTATTCTACTTTATAATACACATGTTGATTTTTATAATTCAGTAACTATTTATTATTACAATTTGTTAAAAATGGTGATTATTGTTTGTTATTACAATTTGTTGTTAATTGTCAATTACAAATCATTGCTATTAAAAGTTGTTATTATTTATTGTTAAAATTCTTTTTTCTATTTTTTAATTATAATTTGCCCTAGAATATTTTAGAAAAGACGTTAAGAATTGTAATAGGACGATAGTTTTTAAAACGATTTTTATTACCATCTTTGTAAATTGGAGAAACTTCCTTTTTCCATAAAGTAGGAAATTGATATTGCGACATTGATAAATTAAATAAAATGTATAATGGTTCAATGAGTATGAGTACTAACTGTACGAAAGAGTTAGTCCCGTTAACTTATGTAAATAAACAAGATAAAACAAAATCACCCGTAAGATTAGTGGCATTTCGATGAGTTTCCAGCTTTAAATAATGAATTTAGTCTCAATACCCCTAATTTAATTGAGTTAACCCCGTTTTCCTATCCGATGATCGTTTCGGCTCTCTTCACCTCTTCCATGACGTGCTTCGCCTTTATCGGGTCACGTGGCACCGGTTTATCCGTTAACTGGCTTATCTCGTTAGAGAGACAACGCGACAAATTGTAAGCTCACATCCGTACGAGTTTTCTAGCTGACAAGACTGTTTTCATTATCTTCGCTCAGGTTTTGCACCACACAGCATGCAGAAACAAAGTATCTCTTCCTCATATTATTCTCGCTCATACTAATGAGACAGCAATCCCATTGAGTTTCTCATTTGTCACCAAATTCCGCTCGTTCATACAACAATCATAATTTAAATTTAATTTAAATTGCGGAAGAATTTCTTTCGTATTAAATTAAAAGACCTCTAGATAATCCTAAGCGAAGAATAGTCCACAAAGTACAGTCTAATAGAGTTAATTAAAATTTCTTAATAATATATTATTTGTTTAGTTTATTAAAGAGTTTTCTTAATATTTAAATTGAAAACGAAGAGTTTTACTTAGAATTTAATCTTAAAAAGAATATTTTAAATACTCCAGTAATCTCAGTTAATCAGTAGCGTCTATGGAATGATTGTGATTATATAATTTAAATTAAATTCCCTGTCTTTTGCAAATGCGATTTCTGATTTGGAGAAAATTCATCTTCCCTCCAGGATAAGGATGAGGTTTTTAGATTTGTGGAGAAATCGAGTCGAGCAACTTTTCCACGTGGCAGAATCGTGCATAATCCGCGCCAACGAAAAGAGCATCCGACCGATCTCATTGCAGAGGTTTGCAACAATTCAATTAAGAATCTCATGCTTCCTAGATAAATTCATCCTTTGCACTTTGAAATATAAAGAAAAAAAAAAGAAGAATAAATCATTTCGTTAGAAAGATTTGCAGAAAATCAGCCAAGTGAAATTTACAAATCTTTCGAGGAGAAAGATTTTCACTTTTCATTCAATGGAATAATATAAAGTTTTTAATACCTTCTGATGGAAATCTAAAGATTTAATTTCTTAAACGTAATCTAGGATTATATTTTATATCTTTTGAATTTGCACATCTTTAATAATGTTACTTTTGCCAACTGCGATGGATTTAGTTAAAAACAGAAAAAATGAATTACACTAATCAGTAGTTAGAATAATTAAAACTTTAGGATACCATATTTAAATGATGTATATTTTACAAATTAATATGACGGCTTTGATATCTGAAGTATTTGCAGTTTTAGTGAAATAGGACCATTTAAATAATTTCCCCACTGGATGATTCCACAGAAAAATATCAATATTTCTATTAACCCTCGTTTTTGGTTCGCCATTGATTGAAGCCGATGCGTTGTGAAATGGACATTATCACTAGATACGGAGTGGTGTTGTTAGTATCAACGGCATAAAATTTCAGGAAGGGTTACGAACCTCCATTTAACTCAGTTTCTCACTCTCACGATTCGATATCTCTCCCCGTTCAAAAAGTTCCACTTGTGTTCACCAAAGTTATCCCAGAGGAGCTGAAGCAGTCCTAAGGGACTTCAGTAGTGCTTCTCAAATAGAGAACTCTATATCCTTCATTACCTTGGTTTATTCGGGATCTACTTGAAAGGCCACGTGCCGAAAACCTTAATACCAGATCTTCAATGGCCCTACTGCAGCACTAAGATAACGCAGACCAATGGATTTTTAATATTCATCAAAGCCACTAGAAAATTCAACGAAGATCAAAAACGTTTTTTTACAATTGTTTTTAAAAATTCTCAATTTTTACACTTTTAGATATTCTCTTTACATTTATGACATATGTCAAAAAACGAAAAATAATAGGTGGTATTGAAAAGGAAAAATGATTCTTCCTGCGAAAAAGTCTGTCACATACATTGTCTTGTGAATGGAAAAACTAAATAGATACGACATAAGCAAAAAGAAAGTGACAACGACGAGGATGAGCGAGACAAACGCATTCCCAGGCGATTGAACGATTGAAAAATTCTGATCGCTGTTGGCATCGATTCCCTGTAAAATTTCCAAGTCTCAAGTGTTTATGGCATAAAACTCCACTTTTGCTGGATATTTAGTATCGTATTATTCAAGAACTATATATTTTTCATCAAAATACTAAATCGTTGATATACTTAAATATATGTAACATAATTTTTGTAATAATAATTAATTTTGTAATATTAGACTATAAACTAAGAGACTAAGAGAGTAAAGCATGTTTAATCTACAATTCTTAGGAAATGTAACATAACGATGGATTAATAAAAAAAAAAAATTCCCCCTAATATTAATACTAAATGTCATATCATATCGAAAGGAGGATATTATTACAAATTCCTTTCTGCAAACGAATAAGCAAAGTACTCAAAACTTTTTTCCCTCGTCAGATTCTTCTAACATAAAAAAGCAATTGAGAAAAATACCAAGGGGTAAAGCCGTTAAAGAACTCGAGACTCGATTTTCACAATATCACGTTGAAACAGTAAGCTAGGTTTCAAATGTTCGAGTACCTCGTAAAATATAGGCATAGATCGGAAAAGTTTATTGAAAGAGACTTATCGATATGCACGGGATGTGCGCTTTCAGTTTGTGTATGTATCCCATATATACTGTACGCACCGTAGCACAGTAAGGGCCAGGCAATATTGGGATGAGTTATTGTTCGACGAGCACAATGCACTCAAATATGGAATGAACCTGGGAAATTGATACAAAAAAATCGCTACCAGTTTTTCCAAGGTTCTATCAATTTTTTTTATCTTATCCAAATCAAAGCCACAATACTATATCGGTACGTTGCTCCAAAAAAAGCGTATTTGGTTTGAAAAAGCATCCTATGTCCAGTACACTTTTTATCCTTTTAGATGAGCACTTTAAATATAAATAGAGATGTAAATTGTGGAATTCTATGTTTAATTAATTGGAGTAATCAGTAATATAATCTGTTCTTGATTGAGAAGGACATTTTTTATGTTATGTGGCATTTTATTTTTTGTGTTACATCTCAATTATTAAAAATGTGTGCAATGTATGGCATGGAAAATACTTTTTTACAGTCAAGGCTGCCGTTTTTCTTTTTGATCTCCACATATTTTGATGTTTCGACTAGTTTTCAGTGTTTCGAAATTGCGCTATATGAATTTTGTTGTAGTAGTGCACGTGTTTTAAACGGTGTTGTGACTTTTTTTCTTTAATTTCCACCGTTGTTCTAATTATTATCAATTTTGAGTTTTTATTTTTTGCAATCACATTAATTTTGATTGAGTGTCGTTGTTGACGTCTTTTGTTTTTGGGTTAAACTATTTTTTCCAAATACAATTGCGAAAAATTGTGCTAAACGATTACGGGCATAAAAATACAATCGTATTTCAAAAATGGTTAGGACCTAGAGTTTTGACTGCGATTACAATGTCTATTAGATCCTAATTTAACTCATTGTCAATGGTTTGTAATTCTGTCATGTGTTAAATATATTTATGAATTTAGTCTTCAGGTTGAATTGGTAAATCTACAATTCCTTACGTTAGCAAATGAACAATTCTATTACCATAAAAGAGTTTATAGACGAGTGGACAGAAGTTAGCTTTCACGATAAATTCAAAGATACTTTCGGTGTTATTTTAAAATACATCGTCAAATACGTTCTTTGAAGAAAATTGACTTTAAAATTAAAATTTAAAATGAAAATTCCATTCACTCTTCTTAGGACATCCAGTCTCCATCTAATATCTATTTTTCGCTATCTCTTGCAAACCATGCAAATCACCTTTTAGGCTAATGCCTCGCCTGCATAAAATCACAATTAAAATCACAAGGACATTCGGTTTCGTGATTCGTTGCTTCTGTAGATACGATTTGCTCGTTCATCTCTTTCGTCCCTCGATGCCATTTAAAATCCACATCCTCGTAACTCTTTAGCTACGGGACCTTTTGGTTCAGGGGCTTTATTGGCGCAAAAGATTTATAAGCATCGCGTAAATGTGCCGTTATAGTTTCTCTCTGATGGAAAAATGTGTAATTGTAAATTATCATACATTTGCTTTGTAGTAATTAGATAAATGGAAACTCTATCTGCTTACTTTAGATAAATAATTGTAATTAACGTGAAACTTAATTGATGTTATAATAGTGTATCAATGCAATAAAATATAATGTAATTAACCTACATTTATCACAGTATTAAGTAATTTGCTTTTATTCTTTTTAAATTAGTTTATTTAAGTATTGTGATATTTTTTTATCCTATATACAGACATATGTCTTTTTATATTAATCTAGGCACACGTTTAAATAACATACCACTTATTTAAATAGTTAATTAATTTTTTAATTTAATTAAATTTTTCTTCTCAACTGAATCAGTGAAATTTGACTGAAAATCAATGAAATATAACTGATTCGACTTTAGAACGTGTAACGTAAATATTATCCACATGCTTAAATAAATTAATATTTCTATGTATAACAGTGTTCACTAAGCTACAAACAAAATTTTCTACGAGTCTCTGATCTTCATTCCTTTAGGCTCTTTTTACTTTTTGATGTTAAAAGAGTCAGGCGTCGTTTCAGAGCACATTGAAACGTACACAAACGCTTTCATAGCTACGCAAATGCGAGCAATAAAATGGAAAATAGCATGTGTTCTGTTTTAGCATTTTATTTCATTTTAACTGAAAATTCACTCATATGCAGTCACTTTTGAGTTTGACTTTCTGTTATTTGTTCCTTAGTCCCCTAAGGGAGAGAAAAAAGTAATAATTTGTCGTTGCACAAATTATAGTGAAAATCAATATTTTACCTTAGATTTTCTCATGAAATACTTAAATCTACAATTGAAACATTGGAATTTGTAAATACCTCGAAAACCTTCAAGTTAAGATTTAAAATTATTTTATGCTACAAGTTTTGAAATATGTTTAAGATTAGCTGCTTTTGTTTAAGCACTAAACTTAGATTTAACATACAGTTTTTTAACAGTGTTTTTCACTTTTTTATTTTATCAAATTTTGTTGTATTTTATTTTTTTGTTTAATCAAAAAACTAAAATTTTGAGGTTCAAACACAATTTTTACAGGCTACGTTTCAGGAAATAAAATTTGAAGGTCTGTTGACTTTGTGACAAAGAGAAGAAACTGAAAAAAAATACAATGCAAATATCTGAAAAGGCATGAATGCGCATGCTAGATCTCAGGAATCTTCACCAACAAAGTTTAAAGTCTGACGGTAATTCCGTAAGATGAAGAATGTTTTAAACTAAAGAATGGTTTTTAGTGGATCATATCCTCAAAATAACCAAGAAATACTGACTTAAGAATATAAAACATGATAAAAAACTATTTTCGATTTATGGAAGATAATAAAATATTTTTTTAAGATTATAGATTATCAATGTAATTATGGAGTAGTGACGAACCAAGCATTATCTTCAAAAAATTAAAAGTAGTTCTTTATAATTATTGAAACAAAAGAAAAAATTATTCCAATTAGTAAAAAAAATTTGTTTCTCTTTAAAAATTCAATTACTTTTCCAAGTGCACATAAAATAAAAAAATTATGACGTTTAAAAAATAAAACAAATGTTATCTAAGACTGACACGTAACATTTTTTCTTTGTCATCTAGGTATTGTGTTAACAATTATCAGAAAATTAAATCATAATTCATATTCTTCTCTTAAACTTGTTTTTACGTATATTTCATTGTGCAATACTTTGAAAACGTCCGTAACATAGAGTCTACAATAAATGAAGAAAAAATTTCATCATTCTCCAGTATTTTAATTTAAAAAAAGTAAAATGAAATTATATTTACATCTGTGCGGATTATTATTGACTACAGTGTGCATTTCAAGTAAAGAATTAAAAGATAAATATGCTCTTCCAAATAATTTAAAACTGCAAATGGTGAACGCCGTAAGTTACACTCTATAAATTCTAATTTCCTGTATAAATAAAATTTAAAAATTTTCAATTATCTTCTGTGAACAAAAATTATTCTAAACATCCCTTAGATATTTAGACATGGAGATCGAACACCACAGACAATTTACGGCGAGTCGTATCCGAATGATCCATTTATAAATGAGACATATTTTCCTATGGGATATGGAGGTATGACAAATGTAAGTTATATGCATTTCATATTTATTTTAATTCGAAAATTATCACAATTTTTTAATTATTTTTTATACTTTTTTTATTATTGTTAATTTTTTAAATAATTCAGTATTGCCCTTAGTTAATAATAATTTAATAAATAAATAATTTAATAGATGGGAAAATTGAGAAGTTTTGAATTAGGCACATTTTTGAGGAAAAGATATAATAAATTTTTGGGAAACACTTATATTCCTGAAGACATTACTGCCAGAAGTACTTACATGGACAGGGCACAAATGACCCTACTTCTTGTTCTAGCTGCTCTTTACCCTCCAGATGCACTTCAAAAATGGCATTCCACTCTTAATTGGCAGCCAATACCAATAGATTTTAAAAATCTTGACGACGATGTTTTACTATTTCCTACAAGATGCCCTAAGTACATGCACATACATTAAAATAACATTCAAAAATCAAAATTCACTTTTTAATAGTCAACATATATAATTTTTGAATATTATTTTTACTTTTTAGATACAAGAAAATGTTCAACGAAATACTACAACTAGCGGAAGTAAAACAAATTTTTGAAAAATATAAACCACTTTTAAAAAATCTCACAGAATTAACGGGAAAAAATTTCCCGTCTCCCATTTATTCATTTTCCTTTTCTAATGTACTGATTTCACAAAAATCAATGAATTTTTCAATTCCAAAATGGGCTGATGAAATTATGTCTAATAAGGATTTTCAAGAGGCTGTTGAATTATTTGAAAAATTAAGAAACTACAATGATACAATGAAAAAAATGAATGGAGGTACATTATATTTCAATATTCTGTATTTTTAATATTCAAAAGCTTTGGATTTTTTTGCTACTCCATATTCTGGAAATAAAACTTAATAATTGTAAAGAATCTCCATTTTTAACCTGAACAAAAATTGAATCTTACTGATCTTCATCCTTCTCAATTGGACATATATTTACTTCTTCAGGTCGACTTTTAAAGCAAATGACAAATGATATGATTGACAAAAGGACCGGAAAATTAAAACAAGGAAAAAAAATTAAACTTTACAGTACTCATGATCTCAATGTGTCGGGACATCTTTATGCTCTTGGAATATCGAAATTTGATCGTCCCTTCTTTTGCAATACAGTTATTTTAGAATTGTATAGTGATGCCAATGATAATTATTACGTACAGGTACGATAAAGTATATAAATTACAATTAATTTGGAATTTGTTACACTACGTGTTACATAAACGTTAAAGACGATTTTAAAAAAAGAGTTTTCCTTTTTCAGATTATATATTATCTGGGAGACTCAAATAAGGTAAAAATTCTAGAAATACCAAACTGCTCTTCACCGTGTGAATTTAGTAGATATCAGGAATTAATAAAAAATGTTATACCCAACGAGGATGAATTGGAATGTTGTGATAATGGTTTAGAACATTGTTCTTTAGCTTTTTAATAGGAGCAAAACTTTATGTTTCTGAATAATATTCACTGACAAAAAAATGAACAAAAAATAAACGAACAAATAGAAAGCAACAATTAAAAATGACATGAATACATTTTTATTATTTCCTTTTTTATAACTTCTCTCTTATAGTGATGCATTCGATCGATACGATAATAATTAATGTCTACTTAATTTAATAAAATTAAAACTCACATTTAGATAACCTCCCTACGGTTTAACCCCAGTATACTCGGGAAGCATATTTCATTTATTTATTTAAAAAAATTTAAATCGAGAGTCATATAAATAAAAGACCAAGTGTAACTTAAAGATAAAGAGTTGTATTTAATATTACAGTAAAAATGAAATAGTCAAAATTAATTTTAACAAAATTATAAATTTATTTTTTGCAAAATTTAAAAATGATAAAATCATAGGAGAGTTAATTGTATTTTAGATTATATAGAATAAGAGATTCATTAAAAGGTAATTAAATTTTTCTACAGTATAAGATGATTATCAATTTATCAGTAAAATTATAGATTTTTTAAAATAATCAATTAATTAAAATTATAACAAACAATATAGTTCGCACAAAAAAAATTGTTTATCTTCTGCTGATTATCGGCTGTGGTTAATTTTTATAAATTGTGAATTAAATTAATTTTGATGACCCAGATATTAATTGAATTTGCTCTAGCAATAGTTTGGGACCAGTAAACAATTTTGGTACTAACAACTTTTAATAAACAGAAGATACAGTCGGCTCAAAACAAATTTTTCCATTTTCTGCAGATTATCGGTTATGGTTACTTTTTATGAATTGTGAATTAAATTAATTTTGATGACGCAGATAATAATTGGCATTGTTCTATCAATAGTTTAAGACCTGTTAAAAATTTTATGACTATCAATTGTTAGTAAACAGAAGATAAAGTTCGTTAAAAAAATAATTTTTCATCTTCTGCTGATTATCGGCTGTGGTTACTTTCTATGAATTTTGAATTAAATTAATTTTGATGACCCAGATGTTAATTTAGAATTGTTCTAGCATTAGTTTGGGATCAGTAAAAAATTTTATGACTAAAAATTGTAAGTAAACAGAAGATAAAGTTTGCTCAAAAAATAATTTTTCTTCTTCTGCTGATTATCGGCTGTGGTAACTTTTTATGAATCGTGAATTAAATTAATTTTGACGACCCAGATATTAATTGGAATTGATCTAGCAATAGTATGGGACCAGTAAAAAATTTTATGTCAAAAATTGTTAGTAAACAGAAGATAAAGTTTGCTCAAAAAATAATTTTTCTTCTTCTGCTGATTATCTGCTGTTGTTACTTTTCATGAATTGTGATTTAAATTAATTTTGATGGCCCAGATATTAATTGGAATTGTTCTAGCAATAGTTTGGGACCAGTAAAAAATTTTATGACAAAAATTGTTAGTAAACACTAAACAGAATATAAAGTTTGCTCAACAATTAATTTTTCATCTTCTGCTGATTATCAGTTATGGTTACTTTTTATGAATTGGGAATTAAATTAATTTTAATGGCGCAGATAATAATTGGAATTGTTCTAGCAATAGTTTGGGACCAGTTAAAAATTTTATGATTATCAATTGTTAGTAAACAGAAGATAAAGTTCGTTAAAAAAATAATTTTTCATCTTCTGCTGATTATTGGCTGTTGTTACTTTCTATGAATTGTGAATTAAATTAATTTTGATGACCCAGATGTTAATTAGAATTGTTCTAGCATTAGTTTGGGATCAGTAAAAAATTTTATGACTAAAAATTGTTAGTAAACAGAAGATATAGTTTGCTCAAAAAATAATTTTTCATCTTCTGCTGATTGTCGGCTGTGGTTACTTTTCATGAATTGTGATTTAAATTAATTTTGATGGCCCAGATATTAATTGGAATTGTTCTAGCAATAGTTTGCGACCAGTAAAAAATTTTATGACAAAAATTGTTAGTAAACACTAAACAGAAGATAAAGTTTGCTCAACAATTAATTTTTCATCTTCTGCTGATTATCAGTTATGGTTACTTTTTATGAATTGGGAATTAAATTAATTTTAATGACGCAGATAATAATTGGAATTGTTCTAGCAATAGTTTGGGACCAGTTAAAAATTTTATGACTATCAATTGTTAGTAAACAGAAGATAAAGTTCGTTAAAAAAAATAATTTTTCATCTTCTGCTGATTATCGGCTGTGGTTACTTTCTATGAATTGTGAATTAAATTAATTTTGATGACTAAGATGTTAATTAGAATTGTTCTAGCATTAGTTTGGGATCAGTAAAAAATTTGATGACTAAAAATTGTTAGTAAACAGAAGATAAAGTTTGCTCAAAAAATAATTTTACATCTTCTGCTGATTATCGGCTGTAGTTACTTTTTATGAATTGTGAATTAAATTAATTTTGATGACTCAGATATCAATTGGAATTGTTCTAGCAATAGTTTGGGACCAGTAAAAGTTTGGATCTAACAACTTTTAGTAAACAGAAGATAAAGATGGCTAAAAAAAAATTTTTCCATCCTCTGCTTATTCTTGAGAAATTACAATATCAGTTAAATTGATTAACCAATTTTGTAATTGCATTTTAGAAAAAGAATCGATATTTTGTAAATAATAAAATAAATAATCACAAATATAAATTAACTGTTGTAAAAATACTATTTAAATTCTTAGATAGAAAATTACGGTTTTTTTAATAATAAAAACAAAATAACTACAAAAAGTTTTAGCAATTCAGTCTGATATGAAAGTGAGTCTTTGTAATAAATTAGATCGTAACAGGTATAAAAATTTTAATATTTACTTGAACTTCAATGTTAAGAAACACTTTTTGTTCGGAAAATTAATTGCGCTTGCGTCTGCTAGGGACTGAAGTGGGGACTTACGAAAAGGAAGGACCGGGCAGGTTTTTCGTTGCCGATAAGAAACAGAATGTTGTAACGAGTCATGAAAATCGGTCAGCTTCTGTAATGCGTGCGGCTAGTTATTTTAATAAATCAGTGATATTTCTGTTCGACAATATATTGCTTGTCCGATTTGTCTCACCCGCCCCCTCACAACATTCACAATCTATTCATTCTCCAGTACTTTAATTTGAAATAATTAAAATGAAATTATATTTACATCTGTGCGGATTATTATTGACTACAGTGTGCATTTCAAGTAAGGAATTAGAAGACAAATATGCTCTTCCAAATAATTTAAACCTGCAAATGGTGAATGTCGTAAGTTACTCACTCTTTCAATTTTAATTTTCTGTATCTAAATAAAATTTTTAAGTTTTCAATTATCCTATGTGAAAAAAAATATTCGAAACTTCTTACTTTAGGTATTTAGACATGGAGATCGAACACCATTAACACTTAATGGCGAGACGTATCCAAAAGATCCATTTATAAATGAGACATATTTTCCCACGGGACATGGAGCTTTGACAAATGTAAATTATATTCATTTCAGCTTTATTTCAAATGAAACACTTTCACAGATATTTTTTTATTTTTAATAGTACTTTACTTGTCGAATTAAATCGGTATTATCTATATAAGTTAATAATAATGGTCATTAAGTATTATATAGGTGGGAAAATTGAGAGCATTTGAATTAGGCAAATTTTTGCGAGGAAGATATAATGAATTTTTGGGAAACACTTATATTGCTGAAGACATTACTGCCAGAAGTACATACATGAAGAGGGCACAAATGACCCTACTTCTTGTTCTAGCTGCTCTTTACCCTCCAGATGCACTTCAAAAATGGCATTCCACTCTTAATTGGCAGCCTATACCAATAGATTTTAAAAATCTTGACGACGATGTTTTACTATTTCCTACAAGATGCCCTAAGTACATGCACATACATTAAAATAACATTCAAAAATCAAAATTCACTTTTTAATAGTCAACATATATAATTTTTGAATATTATTTTTACTTTTCAGATACAAGAAAATGTTCAACGAAATACTACAACTAGCGGAAGTGAAACGAAGTTTTGAAAAGTATAAACCACTTATAAACAATCTAACAGAATTAACGGGAATAACTTTTCGCACTCCCCTTTATTCATTTCCTTTTTATAATCTACTGGTTTCACAAAAATCAATGAATCTTTCGATTCCAAAATGGGCTGAGGAAATTATGTCTAATAAGGATTTTCAAGAGGCTGTTGATTTATTTGAAAAATTTAGGAACTACAATGACACATTGAAAAAAATGAATGGAGGTATGTTTGATTTCTTATATATTAGGTTGTAATATATTTCCTTATCTATTATAGTAATTAATTATTAATTAACTATAATCATCGTCTTAATTTTTCTTTCATTTTGTCCATACACCTGAAATTAGTCATGATTATTCTTTTGTTTTTGTATATACGTTTTGATAGAAAATAGAAATAAAAATAAAATATATAAAATCATCACGATTTTTTAACAAAATTCATCCTTTTGTTTTTTTATATGTTTTGATAGATAATATTACATTACTTTATTTTTTTATTATATCATTATTTTAATGATATTTTTTTTATTTTTTAAACAATTCAAAAAAAATCTTTTATTAATCTAAAAAAATTATTAATTTCCTTATTCATTATTTTATTTTTCATTGAAATTACAAATCATAAACACTCATAAAGCAAAATCGAAATTCAGAAAATTATTATTAACTATAATAATCGTCTTATTCTTCCTTTCATTCTGTTCACACCTGAAATTAATGTTGTGATTATTCTTTTGTTTTTTATACGTTTTGATAGAAAATAGAAATAAAATATAAAATCATCACGATTTTTTAACAAAATTCATCCTTTGGTTTTTTATATGTTTTGATAGATAATATTATATTTCTTTATTTTTTTATTATATCATTAATTTAATAATATTTTTTTTTTATTTTTCAAACAATTCAAAAAAATCTTTATTATTCTAAAAAAAAATATTAATGTAATTATGCATTATTTTATTTTATTTTTCATTGAAATTACAAATTATTATAAACACTCATGATTCATGAAGAAAATTATTTCATAAATTATAAGAATATTGTTACTGTAACTTCTTAAAAATTATTTTTATATTCTATTTTTATCTAAAATTTAAACTAAAATTTATTTTCAAATCAATTTTTATTAGAAAATTCTACGAGTATTCAATTATTTAAATACAAAAGTAAATTATTTATTGAACAATTCAATGTTTTTTTAATATTTAATTCTTATAAAGAATTTTATTAATTTTGTAAATAATTGAATTCCATGGACGAATTTTAAGAAAATTTTTTAGAATAGTTACATTTTTTAAGGAATTTGATTAAAGTTGTATTAAAAATAATTGAAATTCTGCGATGAGTTTAATTATTTCTGAAAATAATTATTGAATTTCCGCAATCATTTGTAACTTCTTCAAAATTCAATTTTTTTAGTCTTTTTAACTAAAATTCTTCTATATATCCATTATTTTTAATAATTAATTAAATATTGACAAATTTAACTAATTTTAGAAGATTTTGTATTGTTAATATTTTTCAAAAATCTAAGTACATTAAAATTACTAATTAAATTTATTTATTTACTTAGTATATAAACGGGACATGCCTTTTTGAAATATATTCAAGTAAAATTATTCATTAAATAATTTACTTATTTTATGATAGTTCTTCGAGGTTTAAGTTATTTACTTTTGATTAAAATTCCTGACTATTCCCTGAATTCCCTATGTCAGAATATATTATTATTATTATTATTATTATTATAATTACAATAGTATTAAAACTATAAATATTCCAACTATATATTTAATTTGAATTCATAATTTTTACGTTCTATTTTTTTAAATTGATAAAATTTTATTTTAAAAAGTGAGTGAGAAGTCAGACGCGCGCGAATTGTCGCTAGTAATTTTATTATTTATTTTTTTTTAACTTTTTTGTCTACGATGATTTATTTATTTATTATTATTATTATTAATTTATTACTTGTCTACTATTTATTTGTTCAAATTTTTATATTCAATTCATTTATTTTATTTTTACGATTATAACCATAATAAATTATTAATAATTGACCTTACTCTTTTATCACAATTATCTGTTTTTAAAAATTTTAAAGCTTTGGATTTTTTTGCTACTCCATATTCTTCTGGAAATAAAACTTAATAATTGTAAAGAATCTCCATTTTTAACTTAAACAAAAATTGAATCTTACTGATCTTTACCCTTCTCAATTGGACATATATTTACTTCTTTAGGTCGACTTTTGAAGCAAATGACAAATGATATGATTGACAAAAAGACCGGAAAATTAAAACAAGGAAAAAAAATTAAACTTTACAGTACTCATGATTATAATATGTCGGGACATCTTTATGCTCTTGGAATATCAAAATTTGATCGTCCTTTCTTTTGCAGTGCAATTATTTTAGAATTGTATAGTGATGCCAATGATAATTATTACGTACAGGTACGATAAAGTATATAAATTACAATTAATTTGGAATTTGTTACAAATGCCAATACTCGTTATCTAAAATTGTTGATATGCTTTTTAAGAAAAATGTTTTCTTTTTTCAGATTGTATATTATCAGGGGGACTCAAATAAGTTAAAAATTCTAGAAATACCAAACTGCTCTTCATTGTGTGAATTTAGTAGATATCTGGAATTAATAAAAAATGTTATACCCAATGAGGATGAATTGGAATGTTGTGATAATGGTTTAGAACATTGTTCTTTAGCTTGAATGAAGGATTTGAAAAATATTAATATTGTATTGTAATCAAATTGTAGACGGAGAAAATTTATTCTTGTTATATTTTACTTAATGTTTCTATAAAGTTTATATTATTTTAATTCAGTGATTAAGGGATAAAATGTAATCTGATATTTTAATTTCTTATAAGTTAGTACTGTAAAAGATTTAGAAAAAAGTTTAAAAGATTTAGATATTAAGTTATAAATTTTAGGAAATGTTTCTTATTGTCCAGATCTTTTTATTAGATCTTTAACGAACTAACTGCTTTCTGCGAAAGTCTCCTAAGTCTGTTTTCTAACTTATCGGTTTTTTGTGACAAAATCTTAAGGGAAAAATTTTATGAAAACAAAGAAGACTTTCTGAAGCATTAAAAATTTGAAACGCAATAAAAATTAACCTTCTAATGACACCATGTTTTATTAACATAAGCTCATTTTGAGCTTCAACAGAAATGAACCCAGGTTTTTTTTTTTTTTTTTGGTTAGGACAAGAAAATAGTAGACCAAAATGGATTAACAAACATATGATCGTGCAGAAGATTAAAGCCTTACTGTACTTTTATAGGATTAAAGTGAAAGATTAATTTAGAAAAAGAGTGTGGTTTTTGTGATCCTAGTCGATCAGGATAAAAGCGTTCACCTTTATTTAACCTTCGAACACGTGTGCTGTCCATTATCAAACAAATGAATTTTCAATTTTCTCTTAAAAATAAACACAAAATACAGAAACAAACGAATAATAGACAAAAGTTTTATTGCGAAGATAATGAATAACCATATCACAGCAGAAACTTGAAATAAAAGTCATGTCTTTAAAACTACCTTCTCATGTGATGAGAATGTAAAAATATTTGAAAGTTATCAAGAAAAATAAGTTCGTATTATTATTATGTATAAAACTAAAGTAAAAAGAAATAATTTATTTATCAATTTGATTATATTATACACGTGGCATTACAGTTGTGTTATAAAATAAACAAATAAAATTATTGACGTATAACAATTTCTTTATACCCATCTATAAGTCATTTGCATCAAATATTTAAAAGTTTAAATAAAAATTTCAAAATTTGCTCTTATATAGTATTCAAAATGAAAACTATTATTTTTCATCATGGATTATTATTGTTATTATCAATGGTTGTATGTACTTTAAGTTCAAGAGTGGATAACAAATATGATCTCCCTTCGGATTTGGAATTGCGAATGGTCAACATTGTAAGAACAATATATTTTCTATTAATTCATATGCATTTTATTTTATTATTTCTTTTATTCAAATTTCAAAAGTTGGTCAGTTACAAATAAATTACAGTATATTTTCATAAAGTTTATACAAATTTTTTATATCAGGTTTTTAGACATGGTGATCGAACACCTGAAAAATTTTACGGTGAGACGTATCCGAATGATCCGTACATAAACGAGACTTATTACCCAATTGGATATGGTGCTTTAACAGAAGTAATCTATATTTTTTTATATTAACCTTAACAACAATTATTGTAATTAAAGAATTAGGAGTTGCGTTTACAATTTCCATAAATAAATTAACTTCAAACGGTTTCAATTTTAAATTTTACAAAATGTCAATGTTTTGAAGAATTTAATTAGAAATTTTAATGAACTTAGATTTTTGAAAAATTTTTATAATTCAAAATCTTTCAAAATTAGTTGAATTTTGTCAATAAATACCTATATATTTAATTAATTATTAAAAATAATGGATTTATAGAAGAATTTTAGTTAAAAACACCAAAAAAAAATTGAATTTTGAAGAAGTTACAAATGATTGCAGATATTCAATTATTATCAAAAGTATAATAAAATTCTTATTACAAAATTCAATTATGTTCAAAAATAACAAAAAATCTCGACAAAATCCCAATTATTATCTTTATAAATAAAAAAATTCTTCTTCAAAATTTAATTATTTTCAAAAATTTTAATAAAATTCTTGTCAAAATTTCAATTATTTTCACAAAATTTCCTCATTTCAATGATTTTCAATATCTACTATTTTAATAAAATTACCCAAAAAAATTTAATTATTTAAAAACTATTTTAATAAAATTGTACGCAAATATTTAATTATTTTCATAAATAATAAAAATTCCACGGGAATTCAAATATTTACAAGTTTTTTATAAGTTTCTTCTCAATTATTCAACTATTTTCAGAAATAATAAAACTCATTAAATATTTTAAGATTAATTTAATTTTAATAGAGTTGCGTTTACAATTTCCAGAAATAAATTAACTTCAATCGATTTCAATTTAAAATTTTTTAAAAATCCAATGTTGAATGAATATGTACGAAAGGGCATGTCCCGTTTATATACTAAATAAATAAATTTAATTAGAAATTTTAATGAACTTACATTTTTGAAAAATATTAATAATACAAAATCTTCTAAAATTAGTTAAATTTGTCAATATTAAATTAATTATTAAAAATAATGGATTTATAGAAGAATTTTAGTTAAAAAGACTAAAAAAATTGAATTTTGAAGAAGTTACAAATGATTGCAGAAATTCAATAATTATTTTCAGAAATAATTAAACTCATCGCAGAATTTCAATTATTTTTAATACAACTTTAATCAAATTCCTTAAAAAATGTAACTATTCTAAAAAATTTTCTTAAAATTCGTCCATAGAATTCAATTATTTACAAAATTAATAAAATTCTTTATAAGAATTAAATATTAAAAAAACATATAATTATTCAATAAATAATTTACTTTTGTATTTACATAATTGAATTCTCATAGAATTTTTTAAATAAAAATTGATTTGAAAATGAATTTCAGTTAAAATTTTAGATAATAATAGAATATGAAAATAATTTTTAAGAAGTTACAGTAACAATATTCTTATAATATAAAATAATTTTCTTTATGAGTGTTTATAATTTGTAATTTCAATGAAAAATAAAATAAAATAATGAATAACGACATTAATAATTTTTTTAGATTAATAAAGATTTTTTGTTTGAATTGTTTGAAAATTAAAAACAATATTATTAAATTAATGATATAATAAAAAAATAAATAAATATAATTTCTTCGACTTGGAGTAATCGTTATCTGTATGTTTTATAAAAATATTTTTAAAGTTGATTAATTTCAAAAAGGTTTGAATTTGAAATTTTTGAAAATCTTAATTCCTATGGATAAATAATAATAACTAAATAATTAAATTTTAAAAAATTATTGTTTTCGAAAGTAAAAAAATTTAACAGAACATTTTTTCCAATAAAATTTTTTCCTTTATTTTCTAAAAATTGAAAAATTTTCAGTTTCATTTTCAATTTTCTAATTGTCAAAGATAATTTATAAACATTTTTTTTTCCTTTATTTTGAAAAAAACTTTGAATCTTATGAAAACAATTGTAATTAAGAAATAGAATTGATACAAATTATTTCCTTATGAAAATTGAGAATTTTCTAGAAAAATATTAAGAAACGGGAATATCTAATGTTTTTCTACCCAAAAGAAAAAAATGAATTTGTAAACAATATTGTTATTGAGAAATAAAAATTATGCATAAAATGGGTATATTTCCTACTTTTTAATAAAAATTTGATAACAATTAACAATTTTCTAGTATTTTCTATAAATAAAAAGGAGAATAATTTGCATAATAATTATTTAGATCAGTCAAACGAAATTTGTTATAGAAAAAAGCATATAACAAACCAAATGGGTACATTTTTTATTTGTTATATCAAAAAAGAATAAAAAATTTATTATTTTACAGAAGGGTAAAAAAAGAGCTTATTTGTTAGGAAAATTCCTATGCAAAAGATATAAAACTTTTCTTGGTAGAAAGTATTATCCTCATGATGTTATTGCCAGAAGTACAGACGTCAATAGAACCAAAATGACACTACAATTCGTTCTTAATGGATTATTTCCTGAACATTCAATTCAACAGAAGTGGAAACCCATACCAATAATATATGATGAAAAGAAAAATTTTCTTCAAATGTCAACAAGTTGTTCTAAGTACGTAACCTAATGTCAAATTTCAATAAGTAGAAAATAAATTCTTTTAGCTATTATTACTTATCTTAATGTCTCTAGAGTACAAAAAATGGTATCAGAAATACGAAAATTGCCAGAAGTAAAAGAATTAACAAATGAATTTAAACCACTATGGAAAAATTTGTCGAAATTCACAGGAGAGAATATAACACGATCTAGTGAAGCTCATATTCTTTACAATACTCTAATTTCACATCAGTCAATGTCTCTTCCGCTTCCGCAATGGGCTAACGAAACTTTGTTCAGTAAAAAATTTATAAAATCTGTCTCATTTAGTGTTCTCTTGAGAAATTATAATGAAACACTGAAAAAAATGAATGGTGGTAAATAAAATTATATTTCCCATTGTTTGAAAATTAACGGAAAGAAAATAATTTCTAATTTCCTAAAACTATATATAAATAAATTAACTTATTTCATTTTAGGACGTCTTTTAAGGAAAATGACAGAAGATATGATTGCAAGAAAAAAGGGACTATTAAAAAGGGGGAAAAGAATTAATCTTTATAGTGCTCATGATACAAATGTTGCTGCACATCTTCTTGCTCTTGGAGTGACAAAACCACATCAGCCTTATTATACCAGTACTGTCATTTTAGAATTGTATCGTGATAAAGAAGACAATTATTATGTACAGGTACGAGTTAATGAAAATTTGAAAAATAAAAAATTCGATTTTTTATGTTACTCTATAAAAATAATTCTTACAGGTTGTACATTACAAGGGTTATTCAAATAATGTAAAAATTCTAAAAATACCAAACTGCTCATCTAATATTTATGGAATGTGTAAGTTTACCAAATTTTTGAAATTAATGAAACATGTAATACCAACGGATAATGAATTGAAATGTTGTGATTATGACTTAGAAAATTGTTCAATAATTTAGTACTGAAATGTATATTGTCACTTTTTATTTTTTATAATCTTTTTAATTTCATTAACATTATCAAACTTATTATACAATTTAATATACGTATAAAAATAAAAGTTTTACATTGAATTCTATTTTAATAATTGCAATTGTAAATCATTGTAGAGTTTTAGGAGTTCCTTTTATAAATTTATCCTGAAATTTAGAAAAATTAAATTAGATAGGTACTATGTAATAATAAATTATTTTAAATATTTCTTAATTTTACCTGTTTTACTTCGACTTCAGGCAACGTAAGATTCTCCTGAAAAAAAAATTTTTATTTCTTATTATTGAAAACCACATTTGTGACTATAATTAAGATATGTCGTACGAATGTTAATTTGGTATATAAAATTATTTTTTCATACCTTCTCATTAACTGTACCATCAGGCAGTATTTCTATATGTTTTGTCTGAAAAGAAGCGAAAATAAAATAAATTTTATCATTTTTTACATTTATACTGTTATAAATTATAATAAGTTACTTTTTTATAAAATTGTGAAGAAAAAAAACTTTACCTGATGTGATTTGGTTTCATCACTATACTCGTTTGATTTTGTAATCTAAATAGAGGAAAAAAATTAATTAATTACATTAATTTGCAATTTTTTTTAATTGCACAAATGAAAAAAGTTGTTTAGAATCTTACTATAATGTATTATAGAAATATATGAATTTTCATAATCCGTTATTTTACATTTTTAAAAAGTATAACATCATAGATTAGTGAGTGACCCTAAAAATCCCGAATATCACATCTCAAGCTAATTCAATCGGGTGAAAAAACTAACCATTTATAGTGAATTAAAAAATTGTATTTTTTACCTCTGTAATTGTTTTACCATCGCTGTCCTTGTATGTGTCATTGATCTAGAAAAAAATAACACTAAATTTTCCATTCTATTTTTTCAATTCGGAATATATTTGTTTTTAAAAAAATTAAATAATAAAAGTCGACTATATTTACCTGATTTGATTTAGTTTTGTTATTCCAAACAATGTTTTTTATTATCTAAATACAATTAAATAAATAAATTATTACTAACTGAACTTAAAAATTGAAAATGAAAATAATATAAAAAGTAATTATTTTTAATAAAAAATTAAAAATCTTACCCTATAAGCGTCTTCATGACCAGGATGACGATAAGTTATATTTTTCTAAAAACAGCAAACAACAAAAAAATATATTTTTTTTCAAATGACAAGAAATGTTTTAGAATATCTTAAAATTTAATAAGTTTCATTGAATAAAATTTTGAAGTAAACAATTATTAATTTTACCTCGTGCATTTTAACGGTTCCATCTGTCCATGTATAATTTGCCTCTGTCTAAAAAATTATAAAAAATATGAAGAAATTATTTTGTGTATGAATAGTAATGATTGAATTATACAAAAATTTAAAAAAAATTCTACCAAAAATTGAATGTCACGAAAAATATATTTTTGCCAATAATATTAGAATTTATTTTTAATAAAAGTTTATTATTTTACATTATTTAATTTAGATATTTATTTGTTATTTAGTAATCATTACCTTAGATATTATTTTATCATCCGCGAATATGTTTTCTTCATTCTAATGGAAAAGAGAAAATATTTTTAATATCATGTAAAGTTAGGTCACATGATTGCCTTAAGAGGAAGGACCGGTGAAATTTTAACAAACTGAATTATAATAAGAATTTAAATTGACAAGCTTATGCAACATAATTTTTAATAGATGGAAATTTTATCGGTTCCTTCCCTCAATATAAAAAAATATATATATAATTGAATATTACAAGAATAATTGATTGAAACTTACTGCTAATGAAAATATGGAATTTTCCATTAATAATGGCACAAAAACAGCTAGAAGAATGGTAGCAAGACATCGACCCATTTTTTCTAAGAAAAATTAAATAATTTTTTAACAAAATTATCGTAAATTATTTTTAATTGAAGACAACAATAAATTCTTTTATTAAAATAACTGACTTAAAATTATCAAAAATTATATTACAGAAAAATCCAAAAAATATAAAATAAATTTAAAATAAATTAATAATAATAATTGGTTGAGAAAATGACATTAATGATGTATTAGAATTGAGAGCTTTCAATATACATATATATATATATATATATATATAAAGTATTCAATATTGAATTTTACCTGTCGATTTCTCCAATATTTCGGTTCAGTATAAAAATAAGTTTTGACATTCGTCTAAAATTGCTCTCACCTTTTTATTCACTGCCAATCATTGTGGAATGAAAGTTAAATCTCATTTTACATTAATGAAAAAATAATTTTTATTGTTTTAAAATATTTTATGCGATAAAGCACATAATTATAACATTTACAAAGGCCTTTGATATCATTTACGGAATGTTGAAATTAGCACGTTTTTATATAACAAATATTTTTTTCTAAAACTTTTATCAACTTTTATCAAAATTCACTAAATATTTAAATTTCTTTTAAAAGAAATTTTGCATACTTTTTTTTATACATCTATTTTTAATTTTTCAAATATACTTTCTCTAATAAATTTCGCACACGTGTTTCTATATGTGATTACATTGACAGAATATCAGAAAATAAAATATAATGTAATATGAGATTTTATTTTGCTTTTACATTCTTTTTGATTAAATTTTTTTTAGTTACTTATTTTAATAAAAACACACGATATGATTTTTGAAAAATAATTATTTATTAGTACAACAAAAATATGAACATATTTTGAAGATTTAAATGAGGTTTTAAAATATTAAACATTTTTTTTTTTCATCAAACTTCTTGTTCTGAAATAAACAAACAAAGGTACCATAAAGTCATTTAATATTATTCTATCTCTCTTTTTGTTAATATAATTTTTTTAAAATAAAACTAATGAACGTAAAAAATTATCACTTTTACCCAATTTAATGTAGAATTATTATTGTGGTTCTGGAATTTTTTTGACCAACTGAAAACGAAAAATATATATTTTTTAAAAATTTTCTTTCTTTTGGGTGTAAATATTTATAAAGAAATGTAATTAATAAAATAAAAATAATATTTCTTACGTTTAACATTTGTGAACCGAGAGCAATAATATTTTTTATTCCGTTTGTTTCTGTCTGAAAGCAAAAAATTATGTTTTATATAAATATGTAAATCTCATTGGTTTTCTGAAAATAAAGTAAAAGTTTTGCTTTACTTGACATGAGAAAACTATTAACAAGTTCTTTATTAATCAAAATTCAGATTTAACAGAAAGTGTATATAAAATGACAGTTTAGAAAATTAATAAAGTAAATTTATTTTACTACCTGATTTTGAGTGGAATCAGACACTAATAATTTTGTGCCTAACTAAAAACAAAGTAAGCAAAGAATTTTTTTTTAATAAGCTGTCTTTTGAAGATAATATATACTTGTTACTATTTCAAAAATGACTTATAACATAAAAAATAATTCTTACTTTCAGCAATAGTTTAACAACATTACTACCACCCTCCTTGTTATTTGTTTCCGTCTAAAAAGAAATTTTTATTTTTGAAAAAAATTCAAAAATAAAAAAATAAAATAAAAAAAAATGATAAATAATTCTATAAGGGTTGATTACTTAAGAAATGACGAATTTATAAGAAGATCTTTTTATCATATTTCTGATGTAACATAAAGCATGTGCAATGACATTATTTTTCTACCTGATTTTGTGTGGAATCATTCGGCACTAATAATTGTTTGCCTAACTAAAAATAAAGTAAGCAAAGACATTTTTTTTAATGTGCTATCTTGAAGATAATATATTTTTTACTATTTTAAAAATGACGTATATCATAAAAATAATTCTTACGTTCAGCAATTGTATAACAACATTACTATCCTTGGTGTGATTTCTTTCCGTCTAAAAACAGTCAAACCATGCGATGAAAAACTCTAAATTTGAATTAGTAAAAATGTTCACTAATTTGAATTAGTCAATGACTTTTTGCTTTTGAAATAGTAAATTTGACTAATAAATTAGTAGAAATTACTATTTATTAGTAAAATTTACTAATTCAGTAATTCAAAAGCAAAAATTCAGCCACTAATTCAAATTAGTAAGTATTTTTACTAATTTGAGAAGAACAATTTTATTTAAATCATGCGGGCAAAGTACTTACCTGATTTTGTGTGGAATCATCAGGCACTAATAATTTTATGCCTAACTAAAAATAAAGTAAACAAAGAAATTTTTTTAATATTCTGTTTTGAAGATAATATATTTGCTACTATTTTAAAAATGATTTATAACATAAAAAATAATTCTTACTTTTAACAATAGTGTGAGAACATTACTATCCTTGGTGTGATTGCTTTCCGTCTAAAAGCAATAGTCCAAATATCTTTTTATCCTTTTTTAATACAATACCAAAAGTACGCATGATTTTAATTATTTTTACCTGATTTAGTATGTGATTATTCGGCTTTAGAATATTAATAGCTATCTAAAAACGAAGAAAGTAATTTAAGTAATTTTTAAAGAAATACTTATTATGACACATAACTGAGAAACTAATTAGAATTAAATTTTCAAATTATATTATATTTCTAAACTTTAAAGTATATAAAAAAAACTTTAACAAATTTTGATACTAATGTCAAATTTGACATCAAATTTTCAAAATTGAAAATAATTAAACTTTCTTGTACGAGGAAAATTGAATTTTCCAAAAATTGTTATTTGATACCTAAATTAAAAATAATCTTCATTACGGAAATTTTTATTATTCTGCAGAAGAATAGAAGAGAAGGCAAAAAAATTATTATATATATTCAACTTTCTGAACAAAGAATATTTAAATAATATTTTTTTTTAGAGAATTTCCACTATTTTTAATTCGCTAATTTTCAAAAAAAATTTCGAAAAAATAAATTATTTAACAAAATTTTATGCTATTTATTTTTCACAATAATTTAATTACTTTCACTAATAATACAATTTTTCATGAAAATTCAATAATTTAAAAAAATTTTTGACATGAATTTAATTATTTTTGTCAATTTTGTGAAGTGAATAAAATGAGTTTTTTTGACATTAAAAAAAAATGACAATAACCCACAAAAATTAATTTTCAAAACAAACAAATGAATGCAGAGAATTTACTAACGAAAAGGAAACTTACGATTATTATTTATAAATATATTAGGAAGAAGGCAAATTGTGTAGTTGTAAAAATAAAAATTATTCTTCTTACCTTCATCAATTGAGTACCAATATTAACAGAACTCAACTGATCTGACTAAAAGCAAGGAAACAATGTGATTTCAAAATTTATGGAAGGTTTAATATTTAATTTAAGGAAATTCATTCTTTATTATTATAAAAGTATTAATGGGAAAAATGTAACTAAAGGTGAAACATATGAAAATTGTAAAACTGTAAATAGAACTTACATCATCGGGTGTAGAAATGGAATTTCCTATTAAAAAGGAAATGCAAACAGCTAGTATTGGAAAATAGCCAGTCATTTTATCTAAAACAGAATACGAAAAGAACCCACACAGGGTTAGTGAGAGAAAAAATTTGAAATCAATTTATTAATTCGATGTTCAACTAAATAAACAAACTTTTAATTTGCTTCAGCTATTTTTTGCCTTACTGCTTCAAAAATATTGCCACAATAGCTATTTAGTGATGTATAATATAAATGTTTACTCCAATAGAATCACTTTAAAAACTAATAGAAAAAATTTAACCAACCAACATTCGCCAACGTTGTCTATTATATTGCAAAAAAAATGTTTACTACCAAATATTTATCAGCTCAAGGTTGTAAAGCACTTATTTTTTTATAGTACATGACGTTTTTTGATTTGTTTTTATTTAAAACTGAAATCAACATGCTTCTATTGTTAAACTTTTTTTTTCTAATTCAATTATAAAAATAACCCGTGTAGAAAAATTTCGTGGCGCTAGCTAGCAGCACGTAAATTTACCATGTATCTAGCACTGCTAGCTAGCGCCAAGAAATTTTTCTACACGGGAGTGAAATTGTAAAAAAAATTGATGTTTAATAATTTTCAGAAACGTCAGAATTTTATAGAAAATATTGTTAATTTTGCAGTAGCGAGTATTTAATGAAAAAAAAAATAGAAAATGCTTGACATGTAATTGAAAACCTACATGCTTCATATATACCGCAGAATATTTTACATATATCCATTAATCGAAAACTCATCAAAAGGGCGCGAATTGGAAAATGAAACGAAAAAAAACGAGAGCTAGACGTAAACTAACAAATCACTCGTGGGATAGTACTTTCAGATTCAGCGATTATTCATCACAAGTCCCTTTATTACTTTTGCTCCCTTATATATAAAATCTTTTTTTTTTCTTTCTTTCTCAGCATCCACTTCATGATGGCTTTGGATTCCCATCACAATTCTTCTCAACTGCATTACTGTCTCTCTACCCTAAATTATTAACTCATAAAAGAAGCATTACAATCCAACCAAAAAAAATGACAAAGAGTTATAAAAAAAGAATTTATCAAAAATTTAATCTGTAAATCTCTTATTCGCAAATAACAATTTTGTCGTAATTTTAACTTACTTTATGTCTTTTTTCGAAAATGAATAAAAACAACTATAGATAGAAATTAATTAATTAATTATTATTATTAACTATATAATCGTCATAATTATTATTCTTTCCAGTCTGTCCACATTTGAAGTTAGACTTTTGTGCATGCTTTTGTTTTTTTTTATGTTTTGATAGATAATATTATACCTACTTTTTACTATTTTTTAATTTAATAATATTATCTTTATTTTTCAAATAATTCAAAAATAATTTTATTAATCTAATAAAATTATTAATGTTATTATTCATTATTTCTTTGTTTCTAAAAAAATTAGCATTTTGTAACAAACGTTTTAGGTAATTAACAAAAATGTAAATCTTGCAAAATATTATCCTTTTTTTTAATATGAAAAACTTAATTGTTTGACAAATCAAAATTATGCAGCTATTTTTTCCTTTTTTCTATAAAAAAAAAATTTTTAAATTGTTGGAAAATTAAAATTAGAAAGTAGAAAATATTTCCATCATTTTAATTCAATTATTATTTTCTAGAATTTTTAAATAAAATTCTTCTTTAAATCAATTATCTTTAATAATTTTTGAAAAAGTTCTTTGAGAATTTTAAAATCCATTTGTACAATTCAATTTTATGAAATTTCAATTTTTCATAAATTTTTCAATTGAATAAGTATTAAAAAATAAAATCTAAAAAAATAAAAAATTAAATATAATTATAATAAATTGTTATAATAAATTGTTATTATTATAACAATAAAAAATAAAAAATAAAAAATAAAAAAAATAAATAATAAATAATTTCAAAAAAAAATTCCATTAAACTTTTTCAAAATAATTAATTCTACACAATTGTTGGTTATAAGTATGAAAAATTAAGATTTTCAAAGAATTTAATTTGAAACCTTTTCAAAATTCAATTATTTCTTAAAATTCATACTATAATGATTTTAATATTCAAATATTATTTGATTATTTGAATAATTTGAATACAATAAATATTCAAATCTAAAATTTCAACTGTAATTCATTTCTAAATAAATTTTTATTAGAAAATTCTAGGAGAATTCAATTAATTTAATGCAAAAATAAATAATTTATTGAATTATTAAATATTTCTTAAAATTGAATTCTTATGAAAAATTTTATTAAAATTTTTAAAAATAATTGAATTTTGGAAAAGAATTTGAATAATTTTGAAAATAATTGAATTTATGTAATCACTTATAATTTTTCCAAAATTCAATTTTTTTTAGTGTTTTTGAGTAAAATTTGACTATAAATCCACCATTTTTAATAATTAATTAAATATATATTACAAAATTAAACAAATTTCAGAAGAAATGCATTTAAACTTTTTTTGCTTACAATAATTTTTACTTTTATTTTCAAAATATAATTTAATATAAAAAAAGAAAAATGTTTTTAAGTATGTTTATGTACCGTACAAAAAGAAACCACACGCACGTTATTTTAGCTAGTTAACTATATTAATCTCCGTATTCTTTCATTCATTCTGTCCGCAGTTTGAAGTTAGTTTCTGTGTATGCTATTGCTTTTTTGTCTTTAAAAAATATTGTTAGACAAAAAGAAAATATACAGGTATTTTTTCATGATTTTTATAATAATAAAATAATATTACAAATTAGAAATTTTTTAAAAAATTATGATTAACAAATAAAAAATATATATATCCATTTTGTTTGTCATATGCTTTTTCTTATAACAAATCTCATTTGACTGATCTAAATCATTATTCAAATCATTCTCCTTTTTAATTATAAAAAAATACTAGAAAATATTTAATTGTAAAATTGTTCGAAAACAATAATTTCTTTTTTAAATATTTTAAATATTCAATTATTATTATTTTTCCATAGGAAATAAGATTTTCAAAAATTTCAATTCAAATATTTTTGAAGAATTTTCTTTTTCCAAAACAAAATACTAATTTTGTGAAGAAATTTGTGATTCATAAATAAAAATAATGCAAAATAAGTAAATTTTCCAATGTAAAGAAAAAAATTTTGCATTACTTCGATTTGATAAAACACATAATATTTAACAGAATTTTAGTCTTTTAATGAAAAAAAATGAAAAAAATTCTAATAATTCTAGATTCTAAATTCTAATGATTCTCATTCAAATTTTTAATTAATTATAAGATAAAATAATCAAATATTTTACGTTTGAAAAGTTTAATAGTAAGGTAAATAGAATGAAGACATTCAGACGAATATTATTCTAGAATAATAATAATTTAATAATAAAATTCAAAGTCTAATTTAATTCATCGACTCTAATACTTTAGCATTATTTTAATATCGAGAAATCGTATTTTATAAAAAACGAAATCGAGAACAAATAAAAGTGAGGAATAAAATAATGATAATGAGAGAGAAATAAACCTCAATTCAACAAAATGTCGATAATAAAATTAATAATATTAAATTTATTAGCAATTTCTGGAGAGTCTCAATTTATGTGACAATAAAATAAAAAAAAGACAATTATTATTTCAACTAGGTATTAATAATTCAACACAAAGATTTTTGTCACTAAATTGTGAAATTTTTCCCAATCAACAAAATCACATATATATCTGTTCTCTGAATGATGACTAAATCCCGAATGGGGATAAAAATTATCGCATCCATGTAAACTGGAAATATACTCCAGAGAGAATCCCCTCGAGTCAGACTCGAAGAACGATCGTAGTGGGAGGAAAACGAGCGTACCTTTGCGCTATTCGAAGTTTACTCGTTCGAGTTATGAGTCTGCTAAAATGATCGTAAATCAGAATTTTATTTTAAATTACAACTGACTCGAAAAAGTAAATGCATAAACTCCTGTATACAAAACTAAAATTTTCACCTAAACTTTTACACGCAGTAATCTTACTCCCCTGATAGAATATGAAAATAAATAGCATTTAATTTTCACTTTATCGTTTTTTAAAAGGAAACAATCATGTTGTAATTAAATGTTTTAATTTTAACGTCCAATTGTTATCATTTAAAGTTTTAATGGTAAAAACTAAAGTATATTAAAATTTCTAATCGTAATTAATATTCACTGAAGCAATCAAATAACTTTTGTTCATTAACTATTTTATGAAGACAAAAAATAATTTCAATTAGGACAATGAATTTTATTGATTTTATTGAATAATGAAATTATTTTAAATTCTATTCAAAAACAAATTAAAAATTTTAATATCTGTTATATTTTAAATAACCGACTCAAATTCTATAGAAACGGATATTTTTAATAAACTAGTTTCAATTATTGAATTCGTAAAATTATGTATTCCTCGCTACGTATTTTATAAATTTTATTTCATTTTAAAATTTCCAATGAAAATTTCTTAAAATATAATAAAAACGATGAAATAGTCGATCACTGCGAGTCAGGATTCTTAAAATTTTATATTCTTAAAATATAGTTCACTTTTAAGATAATTGAATGTCCTTTCAATAGTTTTGTCAAAGTGAAACGAGTGTCAGAACAAGAAAAGTAAATTAGAAAGAGGATTAAAAATTGAGAAGTTAGTATAAAGTGGAGCGACTCGATTAAGCGATCAAATCAACCCCTTGACGTTCGCTCTTACCGCTATTTACTCTTAAGTCTCAAAAAGGCCTTTTTCTTGTTTTCTTCTTTTATTTTGATTTCATTTCCAGTGTCTACACTTAATAAATCGAATCGAAAGGAAAGGAACTTAAACTTCTCGATAATTGATACTTTCATGGAGAAATAGGAAACTTGTCAAAAACAGAAACATTTAATTTATTGGATTAATACTCAATTAAAAATATAGTTGTACCAAATTTTTAAAAATTTCCATTTTTGAGGCTAATAGAGCTGCCAAAAGTCAAAAATTTCAAAATTCTTTTATAAATTAAAAGCTAAAAACGAGGTAAATTATTCTTTAACTCATTCTTTAACAGTTTTTACGGTCGGTGGTTACGAATCTGAAATCATTTGTAAAAAATTCAAAATGGCGGATCCAATATGGCGGACAAAATTCAAATTTGATTCGAATCCCTTAAAAAACGTGTTACTCGGGGGCTTTTGAGGTTGCAGATTACGAATATGAAGTCCGCTTTTAGAAATTAAAAATGGCAAATCCAATATGGCGGACAAATTTTCAAATTTGATCAGATTCGCTTAAAACT